AAACTATCACGGAGATATTCTCAATCATACGCAACTCACAACCATAGCATCTATACATTGCTATTATCATTAGTCCGAACGTAGTGAGCAGACACATGTATACTCATCACAGAGACAACAAAAGCGCATACAACTAGCTGTTGCAGCCAGGCAATGTGGAGAGGACTTGACATGTAGCATGCGTGTCTGTCTGCATCAGTTGAAGCTTCACAGCTTTCACATTTGAGCATGCATGATGAGCTATCGCAAGCTGCAACATAGTGCCGCGGATCAACGATAGTAATATGACCGCTCATGAAATGTGAATGTTCGGACTTACGTACGCTAGAGTTAGAAGATAACACAACTTCTAATCTGCTGGTTCTTTACATCTTTATGCTAGTGAATCAACGCCCAATATACATGAGTGCATCTAACGTTGATCGCGAATCACTATCATCCTGTGCGAGTTGACTCATCCCTACTTTGCCACATTGCAGTTTAAAGAACACATCACATTGACAAGGCACAGCCACCATTGTACTTGGTATCGGACTCAATATCAACACATCAGTCTCTTTTCATATCCGATACAACAGGAGAGGGACTATGCCATGTTCAGACCATAAATAATCACCAGAACGACGTTAGCGGACATAGGAGAAGAAATGAATTACAACAATTATTACTAGTGAGATAAAAAAATCGCGTGTGCAGTGTTAAAAAAGAATTCCTCTACTATACTATTAGCTTTATGAGAATGAGTGTGATAGTCACACCAAGGTTCTTTTTGTCACCCATGTATTTCATGCAAATTAGTCTTACGTTTCCGTAATTACAGCAGCAAGACTATATTGAGTATTATGTGTACATATTAAAGGCCCTCTCACTACATTCGCCATGTTGCGTTTATTCCATTGTTAATATAGAGTTATTGAGCGTATGTTATCACTTTTCGAGACTACATGTTACGAAAGAATCATCATTGCAAAACATGGCTATTTAATCGTGGTTCACGGGTTCATTCCATTCATCGTCGCCTAGCATAAATGGTCAACAACACCCACACCTGAGGGCAGCCCCAGGGACCAAAATGTGAGGGCCACCGCGCACGGGGGCACGAAGCGTCTAACGGGCGCATGGCGAACCGAGATGCTGATGTGATCTCAACTCACGCGGTACTCATCTTACACGATAATCGCTCATTCTGCTGCCGACACGCGCACAGGTAAGCGCACAGAAACCCTGCACACGCGAGGTGGAGCCCCCGAGACCAAAATAGCAAACAGACAATATACTTTAATGCAGGTTCGAAGAATGCGAGACCGCGAAACCATCTATACAGCGAAACTTATCTTACACGCCCCTTCACTGTCACTACACGGCACAAGGATTGCCTGTTGCTAGACGGTGCATGAATAGAGAAACGCACAGTGCTGCCCACACGAGCAGAGCAAGGGCATAACTCACAGGCGTCCAGCGAGCAGCTAAGCGCACTCAGATCACACGGCTCGACATGACCATTTATGAAAATCCTCAATGCGCGTCTATGACTAAATTATCGAATAGAAAATCTATCAAGCCTCCTCAGAAGCTAATTGAAACTCAACACCCAGGCGAGAAAGCACATTCAAAAACTCACTCAGCCTGCCTAGATACATTGCTATACCAATGCATCACGCGAACGATGAAGTGAAAGAACAATTAAACGAAACGCTAACTGAAGCTGTGAGATACAGAACTATCGATATATGACTTTTATGCGCTGCTTTTCACATGGTGACGTATTTTAATACAACGTCACTCACTTGGGGGGGGTTTTTTGACAGACGATGCTGATCTAGGCAAGTGAGATGCTACGGCTGGCACCACTGTCTGGAGCGCGCCATCGCGTGCATTGTTGTGATGCATAGTGGCACTTCTCGTCATCGTTAACGCATCCTTGCTGGTGAAACGCTGGTCGAGTTATCACGCTCGCAGAAGCCTGAGAGACCGTTGCTGCGGAAAACGCACGCGCGGCAACAATCATCACGTGAACGGCAATGCGTTCAAGATGAATGGCGTAATGACGGCAAGCCATTTTTTAATGCAAATTTTAGAAGGCATTAAATTTTATGGTGACGATAGTAAATGCCAGCGAATGTTGGCAGGATTGTATTTCACTCACTCGTCCTTCATAGAGTTTAATTACAGTTATTGGCAGGTTTGTCAGTTTATTTTAGAACGAACGAGAAGTCTGTGTAATAGGGTATTTATATACGCCCGATGTGATTGTGATTGTGGGTGGTTGCCATGGTGATGAGTGGGTAGACATTGTAAATTGTGCTTATTTGTGTACGCCAATTCATGACGTCTTGGTAAAGCCATGTCTTTATTATGGTAGTCGTAAACATAAAGTACTACATGTCATAAACTTTATATCGGTCTTGCTTTTAATGTGTGGCCTAAACACCGTATTTCTTGTGGCACTTCCGCAGTTTCTTTTCTAAGAAGTAAGTTTTAAACATTCCTCCTGTAGCCAGTTCTCTTTCTAAAGATATGGCGTGCGCGGAGTGTTTGTGTAACGTGGCACATACGGTGCGCGCGTGTGATGTGTGCAGGCGTGCTTAGGGAGTACGCACTTTCCTTGGCTAACCACTACATCACAAACGACTTTTCTCTGGCACCTCTTTCTCCCCGACCTCCCATGATTGCCACGGTATAGTAGTGTATTTAAGTGAACATTCACCGTGGTGTAGTCACACGTGGATGAACGATAGAGACGCAATATCGCACGACACGACACTCCACCAGCTTATTTTCCATGGACGCCACCGCCCACTCATTTTGTTGGTGACTCTCATCCTGGTATAACTAGAGAGACTAACAGAGTTACCATAGGCGGTGTGTTTTCAGTGACACGATCTCTCTTCCCGTTAACACTACTACCTTCCGGCTGCTGTATTTTCTTTCCCTCTCGGTTCGTTATGCTCAAGTTGGCAACTCATTTCTCATACTCGGCCAAGGATTTCATTGACTTGTGTTTTCCTTACCAATCACTTATATCTAGGGCGACAGTTGAAGCTTATGTCCTCACTAGTGACATCTGAAATCACGCGCGCTCCCGCGGCATATGGTGAATTTGCGTTATTTGTAAACTACAGTTTTATTCTGCCAAGCGAGTAAATAGCGCAGCGCATGACTGAGCCCACAGAGGTTGGCCAATAAGAAGCGCATACCAAGTGTTTATTCAGGCGTCATATAACAATATATATATATACTATATAATAGTATATATATATATATATATATATATATATAATATGTCTGTATATATAGTCACGTATGAGAAAAACGCAGATACACCGGGAGGGATTCGTTTTGTACGCCTGCTTAGATATCCGTTACAGAGAAGTGAGTGTAGGAATTGACTTTGCCAGCGACAGAGTCGATATGAGTGCAATTAAAGACTACGGGAAAGTTTTCAAGTACTATGATAAATTTAGGTATGAAGCTAGATATATAAATGTTGTGCAATAATATATTGTCTATATATATATATATATATATATATATTATATATATATGATATATATAATTATATATATATATATTATCACAACGGTATTCGCACAACGCCTTCTGTTTGTCAAAAAACAATTGTATTCGTAATAATATACCTACCATAAAATACCGTAAATTTATATACGTAATTTCAGGAGGAATGAAAACAATTAAATTTGTATTTATTTGTATTTACTCATAAAGCAATTTTTTATCGTAATTTTGTTCAATATCAATTGGTTTTCATTCACTCGTTGTAATTTATATAATATTATTATCACTTTACTCGCGGAAATGAAAGGAAACCTTGCCTCTTACGTATCCTTTCAAAAAACAGTGAATAGGTTTTTTTTATTTCAAAATGCGTGCTCAATTGTCGAAAATAACATAAGTCAATAACATTTATGTAGAAAATTGCAGCAGTTTCCAACCATTGGGAAATGTTGTTATTACAATAATCCGTGAGCTCTAGCATTTGGTGGTTGTAGTGAACTGGAATGGGGTATGCTCAGCCCCACTACCATGGCGGGGGCGCAAGTATACTTCCAGAAAACGCGATATAGCCGGTCTGCTGACCAATATTTTTTAGTTCCGTGAACAGGTAGGCTCGTTAATATTGTTAGGTAACTTTGCATGAAACCATTGTGCAATTGTCTACAGCCTTATAAGACTGAGTTTTACATTTGCGGGTTGTCTGGTGAAAAAAACAGTGAAATATATGCTGAAGTGAAAATCACGCACACACAAATCGCACGTGATTTAACAGCGTCAAAAACTTGCGACAACTTTCATTATTTTATTTGCACAAAAATTACTATGCATTTTCTGGAAGAGCGTGCCACCGGACCCTCTTAACAAGGAACGTACGAAAGTTTAGCAAGTGCACGGGGATTAAACTTATGTGATAGCTTTTTTATAATTTGGCCTCCATATGTACATGTATATCATTTTCAGACAGCCAATTAGGGGCAGAAACCGAATGTGAGAGCGTTATGGCGACTGGGAAACCATTAAAAGACGTTCATATAGCGACATTGGTAAGCAAGACTAGGCAATAGAAAGTAATATAAATGGTACAATACACTTGCTCGTACTAAATATAGATTACATGCTAATTAACATCGTGTATATATATATATATATATGTGTGTGTGTGTGTGTGTGTGTGTGTGGTGTGTGTGTGTGGTGTGTGTGCTGTGTGTGTGTGTGTGTGTGTCGTGTGTGTGTAGGTGCTGCGGCGTGCGTGGCGTGCATGCGTGCGTGTGTGTGTGTGCGCGCGTGTTGTGCGCGCGTGTGGTGTGCGTGCGCTGTCGTGTGCGTGCGTGCGGTGTGCGTGTGCGTGTTGTGTGTACGATATGTTACATGTATACATCAAGTATATATATACCTAACATATCAAAGTTTGTAACCATTATGCACGTCTTTGATGTAGGCTGTGGGTACTGGAAACTACACTAAGTATTTCCTGGATAATGGCGTTGGCAAGGTGTCCATGTTTGACGCGAGCGAGGAAATGCTGAGCTACGCTAGAACCAAGGTTGCCGACTACGTCGCGGCTGGGCCGTGCCGCACTGTGAGCAACTACAGCTTCCAACCCTCTACCGCAAGGAGAGCAGTTACGACGCCATCTTGCATGAATTTCGTGATGCATCACCTAGGCTCTTCCGCTGACGACGCCGTCGCGGAAACATCCCTAAGCTACGCTGGCGCTACGCAATGCCCACGAAGCTCTAATTGGGAGGCGCGGCCTATTCATGATGAGCACATGCTTGCGACCGCAAATCGCAAACAGCATGTGGTATCACGCGCTCATTGATGATATATATGGTTTATTCACGGTCCCAATCATGCATCTGGCGTATGGAAACTACGGCTTGTTAAGAGAGACACTGAAGGGTGTTGGGTTCGCCTGCATCGAAGCCATAGTTCCTCTTCATGAAACTCAGATGAAGCCATCCACTATTATAACATCAATTCGTTGCGGTGACCCAGATTTTTTACTAACTGATTCTACGTTTACTTTATGTAGACGCAGAAGCGAGAAAGATGGGTTTAACTTTCCAGACGCGCTTTACCAGAAACTGCGCGATCTGGAAGATCATAACAACCAGGGAATTTATGGAGAAGCGAGAGGAGTTGGGAAATCATGCGGAAGCGCGACCGTCATCATTGCCGGCGAAGCCATAAACCTCCCAGAATAATATTTATAGCCCGATGTTTACACAGCTTATTTCAGATAGTTGCAAATGCATATGTGTACACTTACAAACAAAAAACACACACACACACTACCCGCACGCCCGCGGCGTGAGGGAGGGCAGTAACAAGTTTGGTTATGCAAAAACGGCAATAGCCAGTTAAGCGTCCTTTACATATAACACCAGGAGTGAATAATAATAGACCATTATTATTCACTCCTGATAACACTATTACCATTTTGTTTTTTTACATTCAAACTAAAAAATATAGAGATATAAAGTATCCGGTAATACTAGTTTACTATCATATATATATTAACTATACTGTACGTAGTTCTACATCAGTTTTGTGTGAAAGCAAGTTGATATACAGTGACACAAACAGTGGAAGTTTAATAAAGGAATAGTTTTTGTGAATGTGTGTTCATATTATTTTCAGTTTTTACTGACTCTGGCCCTAAGTGCCTGTGGTTGTCTCGATAGATTCTGTTCGCTGCGTGATAACGATCTGCTATCGGTAACAAACTCCTCTAGACGTTTTCGCTTAGAGATGTAGATAGAGACAACTGCACAGTGCTTTCATGAGCTTTAGGCGTTCGTGTAGACTGTAGAGGAAACCGGCTCTACTTGCTACAGAATATAGCATATTTCCTTGGAGCCACTGATACATGAGCCTTGTTATCAATATTATAGCTTCTGTAGTATGAAGACACAAGCCATGGTGATGAAGTGGCAGACATTGTAAATTTGTGCTTATTTTGTGTACGCAAATTATGACGTTTGGTAAAGCCATGTCTTTAATTAATGGTACTCGTAAAATAAAGCACTAATGTATGAAACTTTTATCGGTCTTGCTTTTAATGTGTGGCTAACACGTATTTTTTGTGCACTTCCGCAGTTTCTTTTTTCTAAGAAGTAAGTTTTAAACATTCCTCCTGTAGGCAGTTCTCTTCTAAGAATATATGCGCTGCGCGAGTGTTTGTGTAAACGTGCACATACGTGCGCGTGTGCATGTGTGCAGAGCGTGCTTAGGGAGTACGCACTTTCTTGGCTAACACTAACACACAAATCGACTTTCTCTTGCACTCTCTTTTCTCCCCGACCCCTCTGATTCGCCACGGTATAGTAGTGTATTTAAGTGAACATTCACCGTGGGTGTAGTCACACGTGGATGAACGATACGAGACGCAATACGCACGACACGACACTCACCAGCTATTTTCCTGGACGCCCACCGCCACTATTTGTTGGTGACTCTCATCCTGGTTAACATAGAGAGATAACAGGTTACCATAGGCGGGTGTTTTCAGTGACACGATCTCTCTTTCCCGTTAACACTACTACCTTCCTGCTGTATTCTTTCCCTCTCGTCGTTTGTAGCACTCATTTCTCCATACTCGGGATTTCCAAGATTTCATTGACTTTGTGTTTTTCCTTATCCAATCACTTTATCTAGGGCGACAGTTGGAAGCTTAATGTCCTCATATAGTGACATCTGAAAGTCACCGCGCTCCCCCGCATATGTGAATTTGCGTTATTTGTAATCTACAGTTTTATTCTGGCCAAGCGAGTAAATAGCGCAGCGCATGACTGAGCCCACAGAGGTTGGCCAATAAGAAGCGCATACCAAGTGTTTATTCAGGCGTCATATATATATATATATATATATATTATATATAAAAATATATATATATATATATATATTATTATATATAATATGTCTGTATATATAGTCACGTATGAAGAAAAACGCAGATAACCCGGGAGGGTTCGTTTTGTACGGCCTGCTTAGATATACGTTACAGAGAAGTGAGTGTAGGAATTGACTTCGCCAGCGACAGAGTCGATATGAGTGCAATTGAAGACTACCGGAAAGTTTTCAAGTACTATGATGAATTTAGGTATGAAGCTAATATATAAATGTGTGCATATAATATATATGTATATATATATATATATATATATATATATATATATATATTATACACAACCGTGTCGGCATAACGCCTTCTGTTGTCAAAAAAATTGTATTCGTAATAATATGCCTACCATAAAATATAACTGCAGGAATCGCTATAATGCAGTGCTCGTGGCCCAAGTTACTGGTTGCGTCATAGCCATGTAACTGCAGGAATCGCTATAATGCAGTGCTCGTGGCCCAAGTTACTGGTTGCGTCATAGCCATGTAACTGCAGGAATCGCTATAATGCAGTGCTCGTGGCCCAAGTTACTGGTTGCGTCATAGCCATGTAACTGCAGGAATCGCTGTAATGCAGTGCTCGTGGCACAAGTTACCGGTTGCGTCGTAGACATGTAACTGCAGGAATCTATGTAATGCAGTGCTCGTGGAACAAGTTACCGGTTGCGTCGTAGCCATGCTTACCGGTAATCACAGTCGTCTGCTCAGTAGTTGGCAACAATTGTGTAGTTGCAGTTTGGTTAGTGAAATCATGACACAGGATCTCTGCATCAGGGCAGAGCATCACTCCTCTGTAGACGGAAACCTAATCGAGATAGACATATACTGTCGTAAGCACTCGAGTGCTCGGGGAGAGACTAAAGATAGTTTCGCTACAAAAAGTTTCCTCTTGGTTGAAACAGGAAAACATAACTGTTTACCAATAGGTGATACACGCATAGTAAAATGTCCTATGATTCTCTACTTGGCAAACATCATTCAACAGAAGGGGCCATAAAGCTTGAAATTTCTACTAACTACCAACATTACTACTGTCTGCGAGTCTGAGTGTACCTCGAGATATCCAACGTCAGGACAGCTGTACCATTCATGGTCAACCTTTACTTGCAGTGTGCGTATGTCTAGGCAGCGATGCTCAAAGCAACGACCAACAAGCTCTGACGCATTTTCTGCCTTCTACAAACACAAGTCAACCATGAGAAATTAAAATGTAGTTATACTTGCTTATAATCCTACATGATCTCTCTCCTCTTACATTTTTACTCACTAAATACGACTATTTGTACATGCATTGCATTATATGCTTCAAACACTCAAACTGCTATGCATGTGCGATTAGTTTTCATTTGAATACGTTTCCATGTGTACACTTATCTCTGCCGACATACTTTCCCGTTTTCATACATATATAGGTTGACTAAGATTTACTCCCTTTATAGGATCACTATATGAACTAACACACCAGTGGCACACCTTGCCATGTGCTATACCTTCTTATCAAGCTACGTTAGAGCATATAAAGCCTGTAATGTACTAACGTTAGTGTTTATACTTTGCGTAAATAAAAACGTGCTCATCTTCGAAATATTTTGCAAAACTACATCCCCAGGTGTGACATATGCTGTGACATAGCACAATTTTCACGCCATGCAAACAGAAATGTGCTTATCGTTGAAACGTTCGTCACACTACATTCCCACGTTTCACATACCATATGATATTCCAGCATTATAGGTGGCGATTCACAGCAACAGAAATCTGCTCATCTATTAATTTAATTCCTAATACGTCCCCGGTAACGTATCCTTGAAATGCATCACCATCCGTGCATGCATGGATACTCACCAGGCTTGTTATGTTCGACATGAAGCACTTGCTCTGGTCGCCATATACCTCTAGGTGCACTCTGTCTGCATGATGCTCATGAAACCCATTCACGCACGCATTCTGCAGTTTGAGACAAGGGCAGAATATAAATTTGTGTGGTAGTTCACATCACCGTATCAGAGTATGGGGATGTTCCCGAGTTATGAACATCCGACTCACTAACATCTTTACACGTATTTTAACAGTCTTGATATTTAATGTTTAAATCTCTTTGAATTTAACATATTTAAAATGATCTTGATTATTTCATTACAATATTCATGATTTTAATATTCACGTATGCAAACTATAAACTGAAACCCATGCATATGAAGAAATTAGTTTCTTTTAATCTAGTTGCAAGTTCTGAACTATCAATGATTAAAATCTTTAAACTGCTTATGTTTGTAACCCCGGGGCTCCCCATAATGCTCAGATCATGCGATGCCGCAAATATTGTCAACACATCTCAAGAAAACATCAAACTATGTATGCAGATGCAAACTGATTCCATTAACCTTTTGCTGATTTGGTTTCTCATGGAGATTGCAATGAATACCAAAGAAAAATCAATATTTTAATATGAATTAGACACTTTACCTCCTTGTCAGACTTGTACACTCGACACGGAGAGAGAAAACTGTCTGTGTGGCACACGCCCCTGTCCTTGTGTGTATAATGGCAGCCATGTTTCCTGAAATAAGTTTCTCAGCATATCACATACATGTAATTTAACCAAATATCCACTCTATTACCAAGTGTGCGGGCAAAACCAAAAACGTTAAAAGAAAAAATTGATTGACATCAATTTTATTTACTTGCCGACATACATGTAACTAACTCTACTGAATTCATGACAGTGATGAAATATCACTGACAGTTAAAAAAGTAAATTGATCGGTTCCCATTTTATTTCCTTGCTGACAACCACGCAATGAACTCTACCGCATTCATGTCAGTGATGAAATATCAGCGACAAAAACAGTGAAATGCTCCCACGTGCACACATTCTCTAGCTAACGTGAAGATACATGCATTAAGTACTTGACTGTAGACACCAACACTTACTTTCCAGTGCAAAAGTAAGAGTTCTCATCAGAACTACAGTACTTCTTTAGACCAAACCTGCAGCCCTGACCTAAAACCAGAAATAATGAACTGATAATATGGCTCGTTATTTCATATAAGTTTCAAATGTGACCCGCTCCAGCAAAACCAGGATTAAGTAGGAAATTCTACAAATTGAGTTATGTGCATAAATGAATAGATCATTTAATTACCGATAAATAATTGACCGATCTACAGCAATTTGAAGATCGGAAACCGACTTATTCCGGAATATGCAGCTTTTGAAAATAAAGCGTTCTGGGTAAGGGGCCCAGTCGGATAAGCGGTCAGGAGCCCTTCAAATTTTTATATTTTTTTTAAAATTAAAAATGACCATAATAATCTAGAGATATCTGAACCTATGTATCCGGATTAAATATGCACTTAGAAACTTATTTTTGTAAAAATCTCATTTTTGTCCAGGTAGGCCATTTTCAGCATTGACATGACATGTGCGTGCTCATTACTCAAAACAATGACTTGAGACTTATAGTCCGTATGTGAGACTTATTAGTCCGTATTATGCTGGAGCGGGTCACAAATGGTAAAGTGGTAAATGATTAAATCCCAAACTCATTAAAGATCTATACATTGAGATAAAAGCCCCCTAACCCAAAATTACCACATAGAGGATTGAAATTTTAGGACCAATGATAGATTTGTCCTTTATTTAAATCATTTCAAGTAAAATGAGTTATGATTTGATCATTGGTCCAGTGTACCTCTCCATTCTCTGGAACATGGTAAGTCGTATGATGGACCTAGTAACTAGAAAATCATTTAAATGATCTCATTAATCAATCCCACTGCTAACACAAAGTCACTCTTAATGTTGCGATAAACATGCAAAGTGGTACAGCTTTCAGAGGCAGCATACCACACACACATATGCCTGTAATAAGGCCAGAAGAGGCCTAGCGTTCTCCTATGGCTTTTCATGTTTGTCCTACTGAGAATCAAGAAGCACACATATTCCTGTTGGCTTCGCCAGATTGCTTGCTGCTTACCTTTTCCCCATCTATAGCTGTCAGCGATGGAGTAGTTCACTTTATACCAGCCAGAGTCCTCGAATGCTGCCAAGGTCATACCATCTATGAAGGTCAAGTGACCCTGCAAATAGGAAGAATAGTCTCATCAGCACAGGAATGACAATTCTCTCAAAACAAGTATCGCAGAGCGACAGCGCTCAACTGGCGTGTACTGTAGCCAGGTATTCTTCTGATAAACTCACTGGCAACCGAAACTCAAGTGCGCCCTCCTG